GAAAGGGCGATGTAAAGTGTGTAGGAGAAATTTTGTGCGAAGGTGGAAAAGGGAACGTAGCCAACATTTTTCTTTACTTAGTTCGATTCATGCTGGAGTCAAGTGCTGAGACAAGTACTGCGTTGTTGTGTGCGTAGTTGTGTGATATGTGTAGTTGTGTGCGTTTGTTGCAGTCTTACTCTTCTACGGGTCTTCTTATAATGTTTACTATATGTTTATTTCTTGCATGTAATCTACACTCATGATATAAAAGCTGCATTTCCGCGTCTTCCAGTGCAAAGAACCTATCTCTTCGTACCCGCGTTCATCAAACAACAACAAAATGGGCATGTGCTTATTAAAAATATCACCTGAAAATAAAAGTTTTCGCTCCCCCATCGATTCTCACATTTTACTTAAAGTGTGTACATAGACACACAGTGGAATCATGTGCTTTCCGCCCTAGCGGTGCCGCTTAAACGAAGCTAATCAGTGCATGCAAACGGCGCTTTAAAAAAAAATAATAATTAAAATATGGCCTAAGAGACAAGCATGCAGATATATAGGCGTGGTCTTGGAGGCTGTATAATATTCCCAATCGCTAGGAAATTGCCTTCGAGACATCCTTTGCCATGGTTACCCATCTCTGAGGCTGCGAAGGTTCCCAACGGCCATTTGGAGCACTGCGAACCCAAATCAGCCGCAGGGGCCTATGGGAGTGTCCTCTTTTAACTGTTCATATACTACCCCATGGATGAACTCGCACAGAATGTGTAGACAGCCACTCCTGTGAATGCCGACTTCATTCGCTGGCGCACCGCCGGCATGCCATCGTCTTTGGTGATGGCCGGTGAATGCGAAACGCTAAGCAATGAGGCGCTGTATACGGTTGCCAAATCGTCATTATGAAGGCTGCTGTCTCCCTGTAGTGGTTTCCCACGATCAGCAAATGTGAGTTTTCGAACTATTATGCTATTGTGCTCGTGAACAGTTCTCACAATTTTATCTGTGAAGTTTTCGGTGTATATTGCAAGTACTGTGACAATTTGGATAATAATAATAAAAAAAAAAACTTTGCATCCCCAATCTTTCATGTCGGGCTTTCTTTTCTCTCACGCGCGTAATTAGTGAGTCATAAGGCGCAATAAAACGGCGTATTTATAACGACTCCTAAAAGGTCAGCAATTAGCAAAATTTTCAATTTTGCGCTGCACGACGTCGCTACCACTTCCGGTTGCGACGTCACCCTATTGGAAAAATTGCCATGGTGGATACTGGAAAACATGGTGGGCGTAGTGGAAATAATAGTGGGCATGGTGGAAATATTAGTGGGCATGGTGGAAATATTAGTGGGCATGGTGGAAATTATGATGGCTATGGTGGGACGTAGTGGAAAATATGGTGGTTATGCCGGGACATACTGGGTTGTATGGTGTACAGATGATGGGTAAAGTGGAAATGATGGTGGAAAGCAGAGGCTAGATAGTGGGCAATAATGGAACACTCTGCCCACCATTGCGATAATGCTGGGAAGCCCTAAGCATATGGTGGGTGGCGCTAATCATGGTGGGCTACATGGTGTACCAAGCTGAGAAACCCTTCCCACCATTGCGATAATGCTGGGAAGCACTAAGCAGATGATGGGTGCTGCTTGTTATGGTGGGCCACATGGTGTACCAAGCTGAGAAGCTCTGACCACCATCGCGATAATGCTCGGAAGCAGTAAGCAGATGATGGGTGGGCTTATAATGGCGGGCAATTTATATAGTGTACCAAGCTGGGATCTGTACACTACATGTTCTACCACCATGATTTCCACCAAAGGTTAGGCCTACTGACCGAGCCCGTACAATTGTGTTATCCGTGCTTCCGGGTTTCAGAATACACGATTACGACGATTAAGTATGACAATACAGTGCAGCCATATGGCATCAGTTAACCTAAATGAAGCATTTTTCATTGTGTATGGTGTCTGCTCAAGAAGCAACAAACATCGATGCGACGCGATTAAAGCACTCCCAGAGAACGTACGTCTCTTCTCACCGACAGCCACCGGTCGCACTCGCCGGCACTTCTCTAGCTTTTGTACGAGAACTCAGACGTGGCAATTCGTGTGCTTGGTGAACCAATATGACAGCGCAATGTTTCCGACACACTGCATTCGTTTTGGCCAAGCCGTTATGTAGTCGTTGCTTTAGCGAAAGAGCTACAGCATTGCGCTGGAGCGACCGCCCTCTACATTATGCGAAAAGCATCCCAATACTCAATCAAATAAATTAGGCGAGCGTATCTATGAAATGAGCCTAGAAGCGTCATAAAGCGTGAGCAGATGTCACCCTTTAGAACGAGCGCGAAACGGATATTAAACTTGGCAGACCCCGCCGGTAAACCGTTGCTGCTCCCCAGTCCACTTGGTTTTTTTTCCCTTGAAGTTGTGAACTGTAAAAAAAAATAGCACTAGTGCCGTTAACATAGTGGCAATCGTTACAGGACGCAGTTGCTCGTGTTTAATAAATGTGCAATTTTTAGCAGCAGGTGTAGATCTCGTCTATGTTGTGTACACGACGAACATAACTCAAGTTGAACCTTAAGTTTGTATTTGAACTAAGTATTTAAGACGCAATGACCGTCATGTTGGTGTGGCGCAGTGGTTAGCGTCTTCGAATGGGAATGCGCAGGGTGCACGTTCGAGCCTCTATGGTGACATGTTTTTTTTTTTACGGGACGGGTTTTTTTTATACCGTTTTTATAGAATTCTTTTTTATTTTTTGTGGCAGCTCGTCACGGTGATTCTGACGTCATTACGCGCTCAAGTGTTGCCGGCACTGCAGCACCCACCATACCCACCATGCGCCATGGTGGGCATTTCCCACCATTCACCCACTACATTAATCCACTATAATGGTGGGTGGTGGTTTCCACCATGCCCACCATTCGTTTTTTTCCGATAGGGCATTTTTTCATTTTTTTGTTACACGGTCGGGCTAGTCTAGCCCGGCCGTGTTTGTTAGCTGTTAGTTGCCCCCTCCATACGTAGATGGCGACGGTGGCAACGAGCTTCCAACTACTGGACGCATGGGCTTCTACGGAAGTTACGCTGCCATTTTACACACATATACCTTGGCCATGTCGCGACAGTACAGCCGGGCAAAGCTATAGTCATTTGCACTTGGAAGGTTAGAGAGCGCCAGGACCATCGTGCGCACTGGCTTGTCACGTGGTATTTTTTGTATTTCGTGGGCATTTGTAAACACTAAAATTTTTAACAGATACAGTTCTCGAAACTGCCTATTCAGACGTTTTGCGAAGCGATCAAGAACTTTCTGATTAAAATGTCCGGCCCGTTTTCGTTGCTTAAAAAGTTGTTCAGTAAAAGTGGCTTAAGCGATTAATCCCACACAAATAATAGTTTGACTCACTTCAAGCAACAGTCAGCAACATGCATTTTGTCGCGTCGTCATTGCGTGTGTCTGCATACTTTTAAACTCTGCCTAAAGATAGCTGGGCTTCCCATATAACATGTCATTCGATCCTTCCTCAGCGTTGATTTTCCGTGAGCATCCCATTTTAAAAATACTATGCCTGTATTCTTATCACTTCTCTATAACATACAAATCGGAAATAAAAAATAAGGACCATTTCCTAGCTCAACTAGCCTGCTAATGAATGATACAGATATTCAGTTTGCCAGCCAGAGACTTCACAAGTACCATCATGTCGCACCAATAACTGGACACAAAGGTTAAAGCATGAGCTTCCAGAGCTGATAAACTTGTGTAGCTGTAAAAGAAATCACAGTTTCGCTGCAAGGGCGAAACAATGAATGCGATAGCAATAACTTCGAATGTACCGCTGAGAACCCCCCTTCCACTCTTCCTTCCTTCCCCCTTCATCTCGGGGGGGGGGGGGGGGCGTCCGAGGGGAGTCCACCTTACATTCTTTCTTTTTTTTTTCTTTTTTCTGTCTTTTTCTTCTTTCCTTTCTCTCTGATTTGAGATTCTATAAAGCTGAGCACCAACAAACTGTACCTTTGATCCTGATGAAGGCCAGACTCTAGGCCGAAACGTCGAAATAAACCACGTTGTGACCGCTCACGGAGGATCTACTGGACTATATGCAACGCTACGGCCACTCAACCACCATGCCTGCCTATATATATATATATATATATATATATATATATATATATATATATATATATATATATATATATATATATATATATATATATATATATATATATATATATGGAAACCTAAACCTATACGGTGCATGGTGGTAGCTTTGGCAACGGTAAAAGGTAAAAACCAGCCGAGACAGTACATATTGTTGCTATCGCAATAAAATTGCACGAGAAAAATTATAAACTAAACAACTGCACACTTTTCTCAAATGTTTGACGACTGTTTTTGTTTGATTACCTTCGCAATCAATTCATGCTTTAATGTGTGTTTTGACACATTATGTAATGTCCTTTAAGTATTTGCTTCATAAGCTTAAAGCATAATGCATTGTTGTCTTTTTTCAGCTGTTTAAATTCCGCTCTAGATTCTCTAGTTCCCAGTAGCAATTTTTTTCGTGTTGACATATTGCTTTATATTTCCAGTGAAAATGCATTGCATTGTTACTGGTCATTGTGTTTCTTTCTCATTTTAGTTTTATTTTCTTGCTGTTTATTGGCTCTGTTTATTTCCACTGTTGATAACTGCGTCATGTATATTGTCCTGCTGTACGGTTCTTGTTCCTTCATTGTATGCAGCACAGTGCGCTTAAAACGTGCCAAACTGTACATTTGGGGGGCCGCATATATAGACAAGCTGCTTGTCAGCTTTTTCTCCCACTCTCCTTCATCTTGATGAAAAATAAAGAAGCTATTACAGTGTAGCGTTTTCAAGCGAGGAAGCACAGAAAAAACGCATTGCCATTGTTTTTGTGGAACAATACGCGTTTCAAAAGGGTGTGGACAGTTTTTAGTCTCTGAACAATCGTTTTATGCTACCGGACAGATGTGAGGCTACATATGAGGTAAAAGACGTAACTATTTTATTCCTCGTGTTCTGCACTACAACATAACAGGCTAATCAAAAGTGGTCAAGGTGACTTGAAGGCCGTTTTGATGTTTCTTGCAACTCTATCTCCATCCCGACAGGCGTTTCGTCTTGCTCTGCCCTGCGCTGAAGAACTTTACCACCAGTGTAACCTGCAAAATATACAAGGAAACTGTAAATATATGTCAATAAAATGCACAACTTGCAGCAACATGTCACCAAGAAAATTACTAAATGCGCACTGAAATTCGAATAATGATTTCAAAGGACAATACACGCTACGTGAGTATGGTGTTCCACTATAAGGGCGCCGACGACTAGCTCAGGTGCACAGGTAGGCAGAAATGACAACGCTACAAGAATTGCTCTGACACGCTCTCAATGTTTCAGCACGGCGCACCGACAAGACGAAGTGTGCCTCACGCTATTAAATGTAGAAGTGCGCGGCAAGGTATGGGGAAAAGACTGATTTTATGGTGTTGCTGCAAACACGCTAAATACGTGAGGATGCATCACAGTGTATGCGCAGGCCACTTATTGTACCTGGCAGGAGACAAAATACTGGTCATAATGCGGCTACCGCAAAATCTTGCAAACAAGTAAGCCAGGGTGCGCTAGTGCCCAAAACTTTTATCGCGAGTGGTCGACACACACGGGCACGCGTGCCACTCTTGAAAGTCGATTGATGTGTGGGGTTTAAGGTCCCGAAACCACCATATGATTATGAGGGACGACGTAGTGGAAGGTTCCGGAAATTTCGACCAGCTGGGGTTCTTTAACGTGCACCCAAATCTGAGCACACGGGCCTACAACATGTCTGCCTCCATCGGAAATGCAGCCGCCACAGCCGGTATTCGATCCCGCGACCTGCGGGTCAGCAGCCGACTACCTTAGCCACTAGACCACCGCGGCGGGGCCACTCTTAAATGTCCAGCTTATACCACAGTGTATTAAAGAGACACTAAAGAGTAACGATGACTTTGTTTAGATCGATAAACTGCACTTCGAGAATTCTAATGCCACGAGTTTCACTATCACAAGTTCATTTTTAGGAGAGAAAATGAAGGTTGAAGTTTCATTTTTAAATTTCGCGACGTTATCTTCGCGCGCGTGACGTCGAAAATTGTAAAATCTATTTTTCGCATTTTTGCGACACTGACTTGACAAAAGTTTCTGAAACATCGTATGCTAGCTTTATGGCACAAACAGATGACAATGCACTTCATTTTTATTGATCAGAAGCTACGCAGGACCCAGTAGACGCCTTCTAAATTTATGAAGCCACAGAGTTTGGTGCGCGAATGTCACGGTGGCGCCTCCACTCTCATTTTCTTTTCGACCATTTTCTCGCTTACCAAAGGTCGCATCGCGGTAGGAGTCATTTTTTAGCCGATTATGAAATTGTACTTTATTAATACGCAAAAATATCTTTCCTCTTTAGAGTCCCTTTAGTGTTAAACATCGCTCGACAACATACACCTGCCGAGACTCCACTTCAGTAGAACGGCGCGCACCACAAATGGAAAAAGAGTCTACGGCACTGCAGGCGAAAAGAGGCAGCGAGCAGACTTCTGAAGGAAGCACGAAGCCACCAGGGTTCCAGAAGACAGCGTCATGCTTTCCTCTTTATCAAGAACAAATATCACCATGTGCGCCGGCCGAGCGCAGGGCGTTCAAGGTCGCGATGAAGGGATATCAACTGATACGAAGAAGCAGAGCGAACGAGCAAAAGAAAAGGCGCAGTGTCATCGCAAAGTCGTATATAGCAACACATGCGATAGCGAGACGTTTAAATGTTATACGAAGTTAGGTTAGCAGCTTGAGTACCCAACTTTGCTTAACCCATTAACAACACACCGGCGCAAGGAAACGCGGCTACGCTCGCTGAATTCCGTGCCGACCGGTTGTGCCCTCGCGATCTCCGACCTCAGCGTAGCTCTGGCCGACTGGGCTGGCCCTACGTCATCTCCTGAAGCCGATCTCCGTGTTTCCATCTTTCCTATCTCTCCTATCCCCTCGATATCCTCCTATCTCTCCTATCCCCTCTCACGCTTACCTAATCTCTCTTTTTCTCTCTCTACGCCTTTATTCCTATCCTTTTAATCCCTCTTCACCCCCATCCCTTGTGAGCTACTGTTGAGGTGCCGCTCCCTGAAGTAGACAGTTACGGGGCTCACTTTTCTTTTTCTTCTTATAAACATGAACACTCCCCCCCCCCCCCCCCCCCCCCGGAGCGAGCGGCGCGACCTTTGTGCTGCCCATCACTCGATCGCAAACCGAGCGATGAGAACGAAGGTAGCCGTATGTTCCGCGTCAAGAAAAAACACGCGCTATTGCGCGGAGTTCCTGCCAGAGTCATGCAGCCCCTCCCCCCCTCCACTAAGCCCCACCGCCCAAGTCATGGGCCTCTCGCACTACCAGACGGCCAGCGCGTCACTAATAAGGCGGCGATAGAAGCTATAGTTGGTGCAAGGAAGGAAAACGGGCTGTAGTGTTTAAGCACAGAAACAAACTTGTCAAATGCTCAGAAAGTGCAGTTTATGACATTTCCTCTCCTGCAAAAGAAAGTATATAGGCCAGACCAGGAGGTGCAACAATGAGAGACTAAAAAGCATAATTATGCTTTGTCGTTTCCATCCTGGTCGTTTGGCTTCTCACTACGCAGAATGTAAGTGCACAGCGATGTTTCCAAACGCAAAAGTTTAGCCACAATCTTTTGATCATAGAAAGAAAGTACAGGAAGCTTTTTACATGCATATCAGTAAAGGGTGCATTAGCACTCCCTCGGTTGCTTTCTCCCAGAAAGCAATTGGTTTTTTGAAGGAAACCATGCAGCTGCATACGCAATTTTTGACACGTTCCAGTGAAACTGTTCCACGCCCACATGTTTTCTGTTTCGTATTCTGTTTCCTATCACTGAATTCCCCTCCTCTCTTTTTTTTCTCTCGTACTTTAGGCTGTTCGCGATAAAAATAAAGTAGTTGTTAGTTTACGCATCACTCTGTGTCGTCTCTGGATGTGTTTTTCCTTATCCTGCAGCGCATCACAAGCATGAACAGCGTGTTACTTTTCCGCCTGATTAGCGTTCATCGGCTGCGACCTGCACATACAACGCGCAGGGCAGTGTTATCGATTTGGATTTTATCCGAAACTTGACGGCAGCGTCGAGAGCACCGACATGTCGCACTAAAAAGAAATGAACACCAGCGCGGGCAGGGCCAAGGCGACCTAAAAGTCTTCGCTTTGACCGCTTGTCGGTACCGTGACGATGGTCGAGTGGCACGCCTGCAATGTGGGGGAGCACCATGGGTTCGATTCCCAGAGCCTCTGGTAACCGACAAGTTCCTTTAGTGAGCGGAGAAGCCTCTCGTTTACTTTTTTACCCCCTACACGCCCGAAGGGGGTGCTGACAGAGTAAAGGCCTGACCACATGTACCCATCGCCGCGCGTGGCTTTCTGGCTCCGCGCCTCATTTTGTAGAGAAAGCGGGCGCGCGGCTACGCGAAGTTGCGCGCCTTCTCTCTACATAGGAACAGGGTGCGAAGCCACGTCAACAAGCCTCGCGCCGACGCAATGCAACGGTGGTCAGGCATGGGTCAGGCCTTGAAAGCATGGTGGCTAGTAGAAGTGAAAAACCACCTTCAGGCCACGACCGGCCAGAAGACTCCCACCTCCAGACCAGCCGTGATAAAATGCTGTGGCGTCAGACATTTTGGTGGCATCAAGTAGGTTCTACGTAGTTATTAATCAGCAAAAATTAGGCACATGGTCCTACGAGAGGGCCGCCGACTTATACCAAGTTTCAGTAAATGTCGTTATGCCAACGTCACGAAAGTACGAAAATACGCCTTGAAATTTGTGATATCACGCGCTGCGATTGGCCGGATTGTGTCACGTGATCAGTCTTCTCGGTCAGATCGCGCCACGCTTTCACTTGGAAGTCAGAGCGGTCGGGAGCACTCAGAGTCAGAGGCTGATACTCTGAAAGAACCAACTGAAGGTAGTCCGAGCGCTCGAATCCTACCAACCAAAGGCGCAGTCACTTTTCAGAGCGCTCGAAAACGCCCAACCGAATACACCACTAGTGTCGTTTCAAGGTAAAAAAAAAAGATAACATAGTAGCCAGCTTTCTCAAAAGTGACTTACAAATTCTCTGAGCAGGCTCAATCAAAGTTGCTAGAATTACAGTGTCGACTGTACTTGAAAAAACTTATTTTCAAAGCTATGCCAAAGAGGCGGGCCGCTTGGCGGTCGCAAGAACTAGTGGCGCTGTAGTCAGATTTTGCTCCCGCGGCCACCACATGTTGGGATTAAAGATGCGAAGTGCGAAAAAAAAAAAAAACAGAAAAGAAAGTTTTTTGCGGTTTTTGTTTAGGCGCAGTTGGAAAAATTGGCCGAAATTTCCGTGGAGTAAAACGTACAGAAATAAATCTTAGGCAACACCCAGCGTTGAACTTGAAACCAAAAAATCGCACGTGATACCAAAACAGCAAACGACAGCTGACCACTTGCCATTGACATCACATGAAGTCAGCTTAGCTTGAGTCTATATCGTAGCTTCGTCGTTCAGTTGTGGTCTGGTGTGTTCATTTTGGGTGCGGTTTATGATGTTTTCGTACGCGTTATTGTTCAAGTTTACTTTCCCTCGTACACTTGTACTTTCCCTCGTACACATCGCGGGCCCCGCAACAAAAGTAAGCAGGCAAGGTAAGCGGGCCAATTCAGGAATATTCGTGGAACGCATCCTTTGACGAGGTCCCACTTTCCTCTTGCGATTTGTACCTTCTTACCGTATGACGTGAGTGAAAGTCTTCAGGATGTCCTTCTCATGAAAGAGCATATCACACACACGTGAGGTGCTGGGCAGTTTCTTATCCGCAGGAGGAATAGCGTGGTCCCATACCTCTCGGTGCTCAGGTACACGTGGGTACAAAAGAAATGTTGTGGTGTCTCTCATTTCCTGTAGCTACTCTACAGCCGAGAACGCAACATTTGGGCATGATGAAAACACGCAACACATTGTTGAGACTCACGCAACACATACAAAGCAGAACAGGGCGCGCTGAAGCATAAAACTGTTCACGCAGAAAGAAGCCTCCACGGATAAAGACGCACTGCAACATGCAGAACCAACGGAGGTTACGGGAGTGAC